ACTTGCCCGATACGGACACATCGTTATCTACTGTACGATCAGATTAGATAGGACGGCAGTGCACGGCACAGCTCGGGCCCCGCTGACGCAGCCGCTCTGACTCACCGGCCCCCGGGGCCGCGTTGGCATGCTGCGCACGGACCAGCTGCGCACGGACCAACGTGCACAGCCTGCCCTAAATCTTCCCATGTATATAAACCAGCCTCTGCTGCCCTAGGGACCTCAGTTTCGACCTCTTGTCCCTAGGTCAGTAAGCTCTCCTGTACTTACTTCTTTTACTTACTAACTAATACATTCTTGTCCCTAGCCTTAGGTTTGAGCCTAGCTCACCATCGCTTCGGTAAGATAAGTCGAACGCCCCCAGCGTTTGGTTTTCCCCTGTCGCTCGACCCTAAGTCGCGACAGGGCCGGTGAGTCAGAGAGGCTGCGTCAGCGGGGCCCGAGCTGTGCCGCGCACTGCCGTCCTATCTAATCTAATCGTACAGTAGATATGATATGTCCATATCAGGCAGGTAGTACAGAGGTCGCGGGTTCGAGCCCGCGAAAAGGAAAAATTAAAAAACGGCTAGGCGCTGTACCAACTCGTGACAACCAGGGATGATGTGGCCAGCTCACCTTGCTTGCTAGGCATATGACGGCACCTCGCCGACCACACCGGCCGCTTCCACTGGGTCGTCATCAGCTGCGGGAGCCTCCTCCAGCTCCTCGATCCTCACCACCAGTTGCGCAGGCCTAGGAGCCCCTGATTTTGTGAAGGTGCCGCTGTGCGCAATGAACACCGTCAGCGCGGCGATACCCTTTTCAGTCCCCAAGATGGTGGGTAAGTCAATGGTTGTGCTGATGCCGCGGAGGACGTGCCAGTGGGGCACGTACTGCAGGCAGTCTTGGCGAATGTGGGCCCGCGTCTGTCTATGCGGGCTGCAATCATTGGGTTCAGCAGGGACAAAGAAGCGATAGTACTCACCGGTGAAGCAGTGCCTGGTGCGGCACTGGGTGACATGCCCAAATACCTCGCTCTTCAACTGGCGGAAGTGTTTTCGCAGCCGGTCTTGCAGCAGGAGACGGTTCGCGGTCGCAAAGCGACCGGCAGGCCCCACTGGTGTCCACTCACCTACCCAAGCCCGGATTGCGTGCTCCTGTGCCTCTCGTAGGGTGCCCACTCGGGACGCATGCTGGTGGGGGGTGGCACACTCGGTAGCCTCCTTTGCAAAGTGATCAGCAAGCTCATTACCTGCGATACCATGGTGCCCTGGGGCCCACTCGACGTGCACGGTGTGACGGGGGCCGGCATCGTTACCATCAGGTTGCCAATAAGTGATAACCTCCAGATGCAAACGTGACAATCCAGACTCTTTGACGTCTAACTGCATGGCAACAGTCATGTTCGAGGTCAGCCAGATCAGCCGCGTTGCTGTGAAGATTTAGAGGTCGATTCTATTCTACAATCGCGTCCAGACTTCTGCGGGAAGGCATCCAATAAGATGTGGGCAGAACCCATCGGAAATTTTGCACTAGCCGAAACTATACATAAATGATGTGTAATTTCATTCTGATATTTTCCCCGCTACTTCCCTTATTATTGCTTTGCTACTTTTCTGCGCAGAGTGAATTCCTTTCTGTTTATGACCTGCCTGCCTGCCCGCCCGCATGTTATATGCACTTGATTCGTGGCCATTTGCAGACGGCGTGCATGGCGCGGAGCATATGGATTTCCTGCAACAACAGGGTGCTCAAGCACGGGATGCCGCTTATCCCGCTGCAGTCCTAGCTACGTGGTCAGTTCACTGTATGTCTGATTTACTGTCCGGGGTGCTGACGATGATTGTCGTCTGGTTGTGCATTGATGGCCGCATCTAGGGCTTGTGTTGCGCGCAAAGCAAGACACAGCGCAGCACAGCGTGGCGACCGTATCGTGTTTGGTGAGGTGAGTTGGAAAGCTAGATAGTGCGGCTAAATGGATACTAATAGTCTTATTTAGGCGACTACGAGGCACGCGCCCAGGATATTGGGATCGCCTTACCTTGGCTGGCTGGTAAGATAATAGGACTGCGAATGCTCGCGGGAAATTAGCCGGCAACACGGTCAATCGACGTGAAGGACACGGGCTGTTGAAGCAACTGGCAGCGATGGACATCAGCGCGGCATGCGGACGCGGGACTGTTGGGCAGCATGGCTACGATTTGGGCTGGGCCAGACGCAGGCTGTGTCAAAGGTGTCATAGTAAGTTTGGGCATACCTTTTTGCAGTTGCACTGACCATTGAGCGGCAGTCTTGCAGGCGCCACGCAACCTCCAGAAGTGCAGTAAGCAGCGCGCGCTGACCGGAATGGCCCGCTGGGTGTGTTGGGCGTGAGCGGGACGCAAGACCAAGCGGGCACAACATGTATCGTGCCGTTGGGAGCGCAACACTCGCAAGAGCGTCACGCGGAGACGGTTCGAAGCGGTGAATTGACCCGGTGCAGTGTCCAGGTCTCCGGACGCAGTGGTGAGTCCTCGTGCACGGGATGGGACCGCTTCGCGCAAGGGCGAACACGCGCAGTGGCAACGCGCGGAGTTGCGTGCCCGGTCAGCATCCTTTGTGGTGGTTTTCGCCCTTGCTGGCCTGGCGGACTCGGATGTTGCAGTCCGATGCGCGACGACGCAGACCGGGACAGCGCCAGCGACTTGCCGCAAAGTATGCTGACTGGGCGGTACAAACATTTTCTGCACTGCAGAGTCGCGCGGGAACATTACACCATTGCCGGCGCAACGTCCACGAGAACATCGCGCGGAGACGATTGAAGGCGATGAGCTGACTGGACGCGGTGTGCGGGCATCGAGATATGGTGACAAATCCTCGCGCACGGAATGCTGACCGCGTTTACAAGCGGCGAGGGCGAATGCGAATGGGCACAGTGGCAACGCGCGGCGCTGTGCTCGCGATCAGCATCCGTTGTTTGCGCTCTTGCTGGCCGGGCGGACTCGGAAGATGCAGTGCAGCGTCTTGTCCCCGATGCGCGACAACGCTGACCGGGACAGCGCGTGCTCCTGCGATGTGCCAGCGAGTTTGCGCGAAGCGTGCTGACCGGGCGGTACAGACGTTATCTGCACCAGGGATCCGCGCGCACATGGAGGCTGGTGGCAGGACGGCGGTGCGCGAGGAGAGAGCGATGGGCGGGCGACATAGACGGTACCGGATGAGAGTATGGACAGCAGCAAGGCCTTTGAATATATTTTGTTGCGACTTGCTGTTCCTGGTACGCCACAAGCGCCCTTACTCCCCACCGCTCTCTACTCCCCTCTCCCAGCGCTCTCTATTCCCCTTGCCTTGTCCCATCTCCTCAGTTCCATACGGTCTCTTCTCGCACGCTCACGGGACTCCACCAGGTCTCTTACCGCACAGAGCCGCATCGCGCATCGGGCGTGGCGTGCGCGGGCTGCGGCGTGGCCGTGGCGGGCGTGTGCAGGAGGGGCACGGGGGCCTGCTGTGCGCGCGCGTCGTGCTCGGGGGGCGTCGGCGGCAGGCGGTGCTCCGCGACGGGCTGCTTCGTCGCCCTCTTCTGCATTTTGTTGGACTTGGGCTTGGACTTGGTGACGTAGTGCGCGACGAGGAAGAGCTGCGCGGCGCGGTCAGGACGGCGCGGAGACGGTCAGCGGAGACGGTGCGCACCCATTTGTTGTCCCAGGACACGATGCGGACGCGGATCTCGCAGCGCGCGAGGAGCGGGATCTCGCGGAGGAACGTGTAGTGCGTGCCTGTGCGTGTGCAGTTCAGCGGTCAGCGTGCGCGCGCGGGGGAAGGAAGGGAGACTCACCGCCGAGCGGCATCCAGCCTCCGGCGCGGAAGAATGTAGGGAAGCACTTCAGCACGTGCGCGAGGCGCGCCGAGTCCAAGCTCTGCAGGCGGGGTCAGCATGTCGTACACCGTATGGGCCCGAACACGGACGACAACGTGCGCACCTTGGCGTAGCAGGAGTTGCTCAGGTGGAGGTTGTAGTCGCAGTCGTCGGGGCCTGGGGGCAGTAAACAGGAGACGTCAGCTCGAAGGTCGGGACGCGTGCGGGACCGCTGCAAACGGCAAATGGAGATATCGAGGCGGGCCGCGGCTGGGGCCACACATGGGCCACGGGTTCAGAGCAAAGATACATATGGCAAACGGACCCCAAGGACGTCGCGATGGTGTGGGGCATGGCCAGAAGAACGGAAGGAACACGGAAGACTCACTCGCCCAGCCCTTCCAAGCTACCGTGACATCGAATGGGCTCTTGCCCACCAGAGACAGCGCCGCGAGCCACTGCGCCTTGGCGCGCTGCTCGACATGGCGCGGCTTGAAGAGGAGGCGGAGGCGCAGGAGGTGCAATCTGAGGCGCAGCGCGATGAGCGGGCTGAACACGCGCACTAGAAAGCGGGTGAGACGGAGAGCACGCGCGGATGCGGGGACGCTCACAGTGCCACGAGAGCGGCCAGGAGCGGAGGTTGACGAGGAAGACGAGGCAGGCGGTGTATTTGAGGAGGCGGACGCCGAGGGAGGCGAGCACGAGCAGACGTCGCGTGACGGCGTCCATGGCCACAGACGCAGGCGAAGGGTCAAGAAGAGAAGAGCCAGCTCAAGAAGCAGCCTCAGCAAGAGCGCCGCGTCCGTCCCGCTCGGAGCGCCCGCGTCACGCCGTCTATCACATGCCGGGGGTGCGCACCCGACGGCTCCTCTCAATCAACTGCTTCGTGCGCAACCCACCATCGAGCTGAGGCATTGGCCGTCCAGTGGTGTCGATAGCGATGGCCAACGCAGATACTTTGCACAATCGACCGTGCGACGTGACTCATGCGCCTACTACCTGGTATAGTAGTGGCCCGCTTACATAGCGATCGCCTCGTCTCGCGCTTTCCCTCAGAGTGCCTCGTGCGCAACCTACGATCGATCGCTCATCCTATTGTAAAGACATCGCGTGCGCCCGGAATCTAGCGTCCTGTGCACGCAGGCCTTCGTCCATAGTGTCCGCTCGTCAGCGAATCGCGCAGCCCGCCCGCCGGCTCTCCCTTGCTCCGCGTCCCACTCTGGCTGACGCCAGGTGCTCTCCATCCCTTCAGCCCTCGAGCGCGCAGCCCGCGTTCCCTCCGCCTCTCTGCGACGCCGGACGAGCTGAGGCGTCGGCCGTCTCCGACGCAGTGTTGTCGATACAACAACGATGGTCATTCGCAGCTAGACGTACATATTGACAATCGACCGTTCGGACGGTCATGACCATAGCGCCTGCCTAACATGCTAATGGCCCGCTACGCGCTTAGCGATTGCCTCGTCTCACGCTTTTCCTCACACT